AAGCCAAAAATGCCATTTTCAGGCCCCGCCTCCGTGCACCAGTTGCAATAACTCATTTAGCTCACTTTGGGCTGGTGTCATCGGTTGGCCTTCAGGGCCTGGAGGGAGCTCGCATTTTAGGCTGGGTCTGCCTAAAAATTCTATTTTGGGGAGATCAGAAGGCAAAGCAGTGACTGCCTGATGCTCCCAAACCTCAGCTGGACTTCCCCATGGAGGGAGAAGAGCAAACCTGGCTGGGGGACGTGCACAGGAGGGGCTGGGCTGCCTTTTTTGGGTGGGAAAAGCTTTTCTGTGCTGTGGCAGGCAGTGCAGGAAGCCTGGTGGGAAGCTCTGGTGATGGTTTCAACACTCCACATTGAGACCAGAAGCCTTTGAGATAAAACAGGAACGTGTTCTGCGAGCTGCCATTAGCACACAGGCGGTGACTTCACAGATGGTTTGAATTCTTCCTGATCCAAAGGGGAGGGTGAGGTGGGAACCCTGAGCTGGTGGGATTCCACAGGCCCTGACAGATGTTGGGGGGTGGGAAATAATCTCAATTTCACAAAAGGCTTTTTCCTTTGGGAGAGGAGCATTCCTGGGCTCTGGGACCAGGAGAAACCTGACTGGTGAAGGTCATGGCAGTCCTGCAGCTCTTCTCTCCCAAAAGATGGGAGTGAAGCGCAGAGGGGATGGATGGCAGCAAGAAAAGCTTCCCTGTGCTGCCCTGGGGGTGGGAGAGCCTTGGGAAAGGGGCAGCAGCTCCTGCCTTGAACCCCAGTGGTGGAAAATCTGGGAATGGAGGGATTTGCAGGCTGCAGCCTGGAGCTGAGCATCAGAGGAGCTGTTTCCAGTGATACTGTGTCCTGTTTGCTCCCAAACCTTTGTCAGCCATGAATTTCCATGAGGAATTGTCACTGCAGGGCTGCTCTGGGGCAGGGTTTTATTGCATCTGTCAGGATCAGGGGGGCTCTGGGGAGAGCCCTGTGAAAGGGTGAAGGACATGGGTGAAGCACAGGGCACGACTGCAGTTGGGATTTTGGGGTTTGATCTGGGACCCTGAGCATGGGAGAGGCATTGGAGGCACCCCAGAGAGTGTGGGGAGCTCTGGGTGAGCCTCAGGGTCACGGGGACATTTTGGGGTGGTTGCACAGAGCAGCTTCTTCCAAAGAGGGGGGAAAGGAGGAAGGGAAATTCCTGCACTCCGTTTGTCAGATGTGGACACGTGAGTGAACTCCTGGAGGCATTTTGGGGTTTTTAGGGTGATACTGGGGCTGTGCTGGGAGAGCTGCCTGTGTGACCAGTGCTGAGGAATAGGAAGGGCCCAGCTGGACCAGTTTGGAGCTGGGCCACCCTCTGCTGTCAGACTGGGATAGTCTCCTTGTCCTGTCCTTTCCTGTTTCTAGAGCACTGGAGTGTCCCTGGGGCACCCACTCTCTCCCTGGAGCAGTCTAATGGATTTTAATATCAGAAGAGCTGAGGTCCTGGTTATCCCCCTGTATTTCCTGCAGGATTTGCCACATGGACTCTTCACAGCCCAGTGAGATGCTGCTGGTAAATGGGCAGGTGGCTGGAGGGCAAATTTTGTTTAAAAAATACAACCCCAAAAGGATGCTCTGTCTACCCCTTCCATGCCCTCAAGAGAAAGGAGCCTGAGCCTGTGGGGTTTTGGCTCCTAAAAGAGCAAAGATTTGACTCCAAGAGCACCCTCTTAAAAATATCATTGCCTGATCCCCAGGCAACTCCTTATCTTGTACTCTGCCTTGATCTAGGAGGGAAATCCTTTGTCTGTGTGTCACTGAGCACAATCAGTTCCCAGTGTTCTGAGCACCAGACACGCTCTGGTTCCAGCCTTTGGCCCTGAGACCTGAGATTTGCTTGTATTTACAAGCCCAGTAATTGCTGTCCTGGACCTGTTATCAACACAGATACATGCAAGGGAAATTGCAAGGTTATGGTTGAAGCTTGCAGGGTTTTAGACTAACAAATATTTTAGCCTGAAGATATATTCAGCTTGATTTTGCTTTTAAGTGGCTCTGGGTAACATGAGAAGTTGCCTGTCAAATTTGATGGGGTCAGTAAAATTCAAGCATGTTCGACTGTAATTAACATTTGAAAAGAATTTGCTTAGGAATTAGCTGTTGGCAGTGCAGAGCAGCTCCTTGTGTGGAAGCAGAGCTGCCCATCAGGGTCCATCCTGGGCAGTGCAGGAAGGGAAATCCAGCCTTTCCCACTTTTCTTCCTGACAGCTGCTGCAGGATTCCTCATGGGATGCTGACTGGATCAACCACAAGTTAGGAATGTCATAATCATCCCAGCACTCACTGAGGGGAAAAGGCATTTTTGCACCCATGGGGGTGAGATAAATTCACAACTAAAAGTGTTTGAAGAATGCTGGAGGCTGAATTGTCACTTCCTGCTGCACATCTATGGAATAACTGTTGTTCTGCTGGGAAATCTCCCCAGCAGTCCCCGAGTGGGGCTTGGTCTCCAGCCACTGCTGCTGGTGGGAGCAGGAGAAATTTGTGTTGTGATGTTGTGATGTCTCCAGGACTCAGGGACTGGTTCCTGACAGGAGCTCAGCCAGGTCTGGGCTGTGCCAGCCACGGTGTGACCCCACATGAGCCATCCCTGGGATTCTGAGAATCCCTGCTCCTGCTGGGAGGCTCCTCATGGGGTTTGATGAAGGGCAGCCCTGCTCTCTCACATCAGAATTAGCTGTAGTTGAGAAAGGAGCCACCTCAGCAAAACCATTTTGTGGTTCTTTATTCTGCAGTTCCCAGCTCCTGGAGCAGTGGCAGTGAGTTGTGCTTTCTCCTGCCCACACATGAAAAGCTGCCCAGTGCAGATGTGGAATAGAGAAATGCCCAGCTTGGCTTTGGCCTGGTCATTTGTCACTGTAAAGATGAGATTTCAGATTTTCTGAGTGGCAGCAGAATAGCCCTTTGTCATCATCACTTAGTGACAACTACCCAGACTCGAGATTTCAAAGCATTCAGGGAAAGAAAATCTGTTTCACTGAGATCACAGGGAAAACCAGGCTTCAGTTTATCAAAGCTTTGGCAGTTGGGCTCAATTTGCCAAATCCTTCCCTAATAAATAACTCAATGGATTTTGTCAGGGAACAATAGTGGTACTTAATAGTGCTCTGTGATTGAGGCTGGAATTGTATTGATAGAGACACCCAAAGGGTTTTTTGCTTGGTGTGGATGTGAGCTGCAGGGATGGGAGCTGGTTTGGGGAGGCTTAGAGAGCAGAGAGGCTTCTGAGAGCTGAAGGTGCCATCCCTAAAATTTTAAACCAAGCTGTGCCTCAAAGCTGGTTTAAAATAATTCACTATAATACTCTAAATAGAATAATTCACTATAATACTCTAAATAATTCACTGTGTGCTTGGTGTATGGTGTTAGGAGGGGGTTTTAAGTTTCCTCTAAAATCCAAATATCAGTGAGGACTTGGAAATGTAGAGCCAAGTAGTGGTTTGCATTTCTGTTAATTTGGTTCATTAATGTGCCAGCAGTTATTAATGCTGGGGACAGGTGATGATGTTGAAGAGTATCTGGGTTTTTTTCTCCTTTGTAAATTGGAGTAACCTGGGCTTGTGGAAGGTGTCCCTGGCCATGGCAGGTTTTGGAATGAGGAGAGTTTTAAGGTACCTTCCAACACAATTGATTCTGCCCTTCTGAACATCTTCAAAAAACCCAGTGAGGAAAAAACAAAAGGAAAAACAACAAACTGTATGGAGTGCTTTCCATTTAAATAGGGATTTGTGGGCTTTTCCCCCAAATTCACTTTCTTGTGTTTGGGAACAGTGTTGTGCCCTCTGTGCTTGTTTGAGCCCTGCAGGGTCCTGGGGCTCAGCCCTGGAACTCTTAATCAGAGTGGCTGGTGCAGCCCCAAAGCAGAGTTTGGGCACTTCTTAGCTCTGCCAGGCATCAGCCTGGGTGAGGAAAACCCTTGTGGGATTTATTCCCTAACCAGGGCTCCGTGGAGCCAGAAAAAAATCTGCACTAATTACAGGGATTGTGTCGTTCCTGTGTCACCCCCAGGTATCAGAGCTTTACAGACACAACCTTGTTCATTGCACTGAGCCCTGAGCCTCTGCCAGCATCAGCTGTGGGTAGTGATGCTCTTTTTTTAACCAGAATTCCAAAATTCCCCTTTCTTTAGGGGTCTGTGTGTCACCTCCTGCCCTTTCTGGTGTGTGGACACCAAGTCTTTAGTGAGGGGCTCTTCCAGCTCCTGGAGAACGAGATAGACCAAATTTATGTGTCCTGTTTTATCTGATGGTGGATTTATCTGTTGAACCTCGTCTGCTGAGGCCACGCTGTGTGTCTGACCGTGCACTGGCTGGGGAGGAGAGCAGTGTGGTGGGATCAGCTGGCCCTGAACAGACCCTGGGAAGGGAAATTGAGGTGTTCAGAGGCTGCTGAGCCCTGCTCTGGCTCCCTGGTGCTGCGTGGCCGCCCTGCAGAGCTTATTTTCACTGCTGACACCGTGCTGGGGCTCAGCTCCACGTGGTTGAGGCCACCTTTAGGATATCCTTGGAGCATTTTCTTGGGCAAACAGGCTTTGCTTCTTCGTCACCAGCTCAGAGCTATTTGGGCTTTCTGATGTTATCTCCGAGTTAGTTTCCCTTCCTTGTTGCCTCAGGGATTTGGCAGGGGGGATTTGTGTGTCTGGTTGTTGTCTTGAAAGGCTGATGTTGGGAAAGCCCACCCTGGATTTATTACAGCTTTCCTCTGCATCTGCCACCTCCACGGTAAAATGGCAAGAAGTCTATGTGTCCACAAGGAATTGGGTTGGATTTGAGTGGCACTGAGGAAGCAAACAGAGGGTTTGGTGGGACAGGACACGGGGAAAGGCCTGGGAGTGAAGGATCCTTCCAGGGTGGCAGGTCAAGGATGAGCCAGGGCTGGACATGTGAGAGCTGCACACAACAGAAACCCATTTGGCAATTTAATCCTTTAACTTCCCCCCATCAAGTGGGTCAAAATAATACAACCAAAGCTTTCTCAAGCTGTAATTCAGGGCAGCCTTTTTTAATTTCGCATTTTCCCCTGCATAAAGTTGCTGTCTCCTGCTCCAGAAGCAGCAGCAGCGTTTGAGAGCAGTAATGAGCGGCCCTGGCAGGACTACAAAGGGCTCTGGAGGAGCAGGTACGCAGGGGATGAGGTAAGTGGTGTCGTTTGGGTGAAATAGGTGTGGAAAGTGCACTCTGCACAAGTTAGGCTTCAAAGCCAGCAATAATTACTGCGTTTGAGACTGTATCAGCACCCCGGGCTGCCATTCGAGTCGGGCAGGAATTCTTTGTGTAGGGCTTTTGTTCTGCAGACATCCAAGCTCTCTGCGGTTCTTCTCCCCGGTGCATCCAGGGAAGTGTGGTGGCTTTGAGCTGGAGATGGGTTTGTGAGGAGCCCTGGCCTTGATGCATTCATGGGGTGCCCTGTGAACATGACTGGGCTGTAATTGCTCTGAAAGGCAAAACCATGAAGAGAAATCAGCGGTGGGGTGGCACCAAGATGGATCTTGCACGGTGGCTCCTGGCAGGGAGGACCTGGACCTTGTTCCTGGACCTCCTCTCTGGACCTTGTTCCCACCTCCTGTCCTTCTGCCTCTGTGGTCCCTGCAGGGGCTTGGAGCTCAGCTGGTGCTGTGGGGCTGGTGTGTCCCAGATGATGTGTGCTTTTACTCCATCAGCATCTGCTAATACAGGGTCATTTGGGGGGCAAAGGCAAAAATCAGCTCTCAAGTGGGTTTTGTGATGGATGTTGATGAAGGAGGTCAGTGATGTGCGTGTTCTACAGAAAAGAAATGGCTGGAATGATTTAAGTTTATAACTGGCTTGTTAGTGAGCCAGGGCAAGGAAAATGTTCTGATGTACTGAGTGGGAGCTACCCAGCTCCATCACCCTCTTGGCTGCTCTAAAGTTAACAAACCTTGAGTTTCCTGAACACTCCCATCTGATACTCCATCCAATGTCCCCCTGAGCCTTCAGAGCAGCATTCTCCAGCAGCTCCCGTCTCCTCTCCCAGGAAAGCATTCCCGAAAGGTTCAGATGTCACCGGTGCTGTCCCCCCTGTTGTGGCTGAGCCATAGCCACTCAGTGCCACCCCAGAGCTGCGGCCTGGCTGTCACCCACAGGGACAATGTCCCTTTTTGCCAGCTGTGGGCTCGCTTTTCCTGCTGCAGGGGCCGGAGCACACAAAGGCGGCGGCGCCGCTGCCTCGGCCGCCATGGGCAGTTTTATCTGGGAGCAGAGCAGGGAACCGATCTAATCTCTCCTCAGAGGCCTCCGTGGAACTCTTGTCCCCAAAGCGCCCTTGTGCTGGAACAATAAACGCCATGGACGCGCTGCCAGCCCGGCCTTGCTGATTCCATTCAAACCCGTGGGCATTTCTCTCCCAGGGCCGGCGGGGTCTCGGCTCCTCTGAGCCCGCTGCCCACGCCGGCG